TATGGATGTGAAAGCTGGACAGTGAATAAGGAAGATTGTAGAAGAATCGATGCCTTTGAATTGTGGTGTTGGAGGAGAATACTAAAAGTGCCCTGGACTGCCAAAAGAACTATAGATCTGTTTTGGAAGAAGTGCAGCCAGAGTGCTCCTTAGAGGCCAGGATGACTAAGTTTCATCTCTCATACTTTGGACATATTGTCAGGAGGGAACAGTCGCTGTAGAAGGATGTCATGCGGGTAAGATGGAGGGTCAGAGAAAAAGAGGAAGACCCCCCAATGAGATGAATCAGCCAGGTGGCATCATTAATGGCATTGAGTGTGGCAGTGGTAGTGAGGTTGACCCAGGATCGGACATTGTTTCGTTCTGCTGTGCATGGGGTCGCTATGAGTTGGTTCCGACTCTATGGCACCTGACAACAACAACCATATTTGTTACTTCTGTGTAGCAGTAGAAGTTCATTTTCAAAACAGATAAAATTCAGTCTTTAGGTGTGAATGTTATGAATGACTGTTTTTTTTTCTTTTTTGTTTTTTTAATTTCTTAATTGTTTGGGATCCTTAAGCATGCAAAGCCTCAGAGAGGAGGGTCCACAAAGGAACCAGGTTTGTCTTATGGCATATCCAGTTAAGCCAGAACTGGGAATGCCCCTGGGTCATCTACATCAGGAGCAGAAGCACTTGATTTGTGAGTCCTGCTGCCATGATTGGAACACGGCAACACTCACATCCACCTCTTCCTCCCCTGCCACCATGTCCTGGGTGGCCAAGGTCTCCAAAGTTAATCTCCAGCTGAGACTTTATATCATTTGCTGGCTTCCGGAAATGATGGTCCATAACTGAATCTTCAGCGTGAGCCTCTTCACTCTGACTTATGAAGAACAAATCCCTTCTTCCACTGTCCATCAGCACCTTCATTTGGTTTTCGGATATTAAATTCTACTTTTGCCTGGTGTTTATTTTCAATAACCTTCCATTCATCCAAAGTCATCTCTTTTGGACCCTCTTCCTTTACCTCTTCACCTTCATTCTCCTTATTATCAGTGTCAGCCACTGGATGTTCTTCACCTTCAAGTGTTTCCTCAGTCACATTTGATTGATCCAAGTCAGTTAATTCATCTTTGACAGTTCCCCACTTGTGAGATCTGCTACCTCCAAATTTGTCTTCATGTTTCACACCAGATATATCACTTCTACTGGTGGTGGTGGCTGTGTGCCCGTGTAGTCGGTTTCGACTCACAGAAACCCTGTACTGGGTTTCCGAGGCTGTAAAAATCTTTACAGGAGCAGAAAGCCTCATCTTTCTCCCATGGAACAGCTGGTAGTGTCGAACTGCTGACTTGTGGTTTGCAGCTCAATTCGCAACCACTATTCTAACAGAGTTCCTTATCTATGCCTATCAAATTCACGTTTGTCACGGGAATCAAATCCGTCTCCTCCTCCCATTCCACGTCCACCGCCTTGAATAGGCCAGTCAATAATTGGTCTATCAACTGACCTTCACCCTTTCCTTCAAGTGATTTTTCAAATAGCCTTTCCCAAGGTGGTCGCCTTTCTGGTCGTCTATCATTTGTTTTTCCTTCACCCTGAAGTTGTTGATCAGGTCTTCTTCCAACACATCTTATTCCTTCTTTCTTAAGTGCCACAGGCAGCTGCATCTCTTCTTTCTTGTCAGCCACGCCAACATTGGGGGGCAGTGGGTTCTTACCGTCTTTCTGGTACTCTTTATGCAGCTGTTTGCCTGCCGTCCCCGGACCCCCAATTCCGTCTCCACCAGCTTCGTTTTTCTTGTTCTCTGCTGCCTTTAACACCTCCAAGGGATCCGGTTTATTGTCAAATAACTGGTCGAATCTGTTGGTGACGTTGCAGCCGAAGTCTTCTTGTATGTTAGTGCCCAGGCATGATGGTGGCTCTGGGCGCGTTCCTCCACAGATTGCAGTGGGTCGGGCCGAGTCAAGAGCGCCTGCTTCAGCTCTTTCCACAAGATGGCCAGGCCCAGAGAGGGGACCGTCTTCTCTCTAGGCCATTCATTTTTCTATGGAAACTCAGCTATGTGGCAATAATATCTTGTTACAATAATATCTTATAGTCATACAATTTCTAGGTTTTCTTAAATGTTGATATCTTTCCTGGTGTTCTACTGTCAAAATAGTAGTTTACAATAAATTCATCTGTGAGATGATTCAAATTGATTGGTGCTTAACTTGATAGTGTTACAATCTCCATCATATGAACTCCATTTCTGGGGTAATAAGGGATATAAAGAAAATCTCAGAGATCCCTGGGGGGAAAGTAATGTTACTGCATTTTTTCCCCTGTTAAACATACTTAGAAGTAGCATATGCTTTGATGATATTCTGGGGTACAGGGAGAAGTTATCCTTTCTTTCTTTGTTTGTCACAGGCAGCCCTGGAGGCATTAGATGAGCTGGACCTGTTTGGTGTGGAAGGTGGGCCCCAATCAGTTATCCATGTCTTGACTGATGAAGTACAACACTGCCAGGTAAGAGAATAATGGAATGTCTATGTTATATCAAATTTTATTCTTATTCAGACTCATACTTAGCATGGAATTTAGATAAAGAAGACCTGAATAAGAGTATAACACCCGATTTATTACCATTTTTAAAATATCAATATTCTATGTTGAGATAAACCCAGATATACCATGGGTTATAAAATAGATTATAATCCTGTCTTCTAACCTGATGTTATAAAGGTATCCCACCAGTATACGGAATCTTACATTGCAATATAACAGTCTGTCTTCCTGAGTTTCTAAATAAAGAAAGAAAATTCAAGATGATATATGTACAGTGCTTTTCTTGATAGTAGTTCTAACACATTCTCTTGTCTCTGGTTGATTCTAAGATTAGATATTTGAAGATTAGTCTATTTAAATGATAGCATATATCTTCAGTTTGTTTAGGATTACTCTATCATTAATGTGATAAATTTTCTCCTTTTCTTTAAACTCTGATTCAAGATACTAAGTGTTCTAGGGACTATAAACTCACCGTCTAATTTTAAAACCACAAAGATGTATGTGTCAGGAGCTGAACCTTCACCATCGTTCCATGTTCTCTTAATGTTATGCTTCATGTTGTTGTCAAGTGCCATGAGTCAGTTCCAACTCTGTATATGGTTTCTGAATAGCAGCTGGTGAGCTTGAACAACTGACCTTGCAGTTCAAACCGACCTTGCAGTCCAGTACATTAACCCACAGTGCCAAGCAACATGATTTAGGGTTACCTATTAGCAGCTGTTTAAGAATCAGGGTAGGGAACCACTGCAAGTACACTTAAGATGATTAATACAAACAGCTAGTTTTCAATGCTTTTGCTATGAAATAATGTGTATGTCTCCTTCCAAATGATCTTTTTCCATATAGGTTTTTTTTAATGGAATTGTTAATTTTACAATCCCAGTGTATTTATTAATGTACTACATGATTTCTTTTCTCTTAGTCTATTCTGAATTCAATACTCCCGCGAGCTTCAACATCAAAAGAAGTTGATGCTAGTCTACTTTCAGTTATTTCTTTCCCAGCCTTTGCTGTAGAGGACAACCGTTTGGTGGAGCTTACAAAACAGGAGATCATCACCAAGCTTCAGGTATACTTACTGCTTTTCTCTTCTGTAGGACTATGACTTTAAAGGGAAACTTGGGGGCTTTGAGCATGGACTGTGACAATGATTTAAAGAAAGTGTTACCATTTTTAGTTATTCTTTTATAACCAGTTTCTTTTTAAAAACCTATCTTAAAACGTGTTAAAGTGTTTACAGTCATTGCTGGTAAGGATGTAAAATAGTACAGTCACTTTAGAAAATAGTTTGGCAGTTTCTTACAAATTTGCATATATACCTACCATGTTGTTGTTAAGCGCCATCGAGTTTATACCGACTCATAGCAACCCTAAGGAGCTCTGTAGCGTAGTGGTTACGAATTGGTCTTCGAATCTTAAGGTCAGCAGTTCGAAACTACCAGCTGTTCTGCTGGAAAAAGATGAGGCTTTCTGCTCCCATAAAGATTTACAGCCTCAGAAACCCTGTACAGAGTCACTATGGGTTAGAATCGACTCAACAGCACTTAACAACAACATAGAAACTCTGTATAGGGTTGCCAAGGAGCGGCTGTTGAGTTTGAACTGCTGACCTTGCAGTTCAAACCGACCTTGAGGTGGAGTGGTTATTCAGCGGTGCCACACCAGGACTAAGATTGTGGGTCATACCTACAATTTAACCCAACAATCTTACTCCAAGGTAACCATACTATAAAAATGAAAACTTATGTTCACACAAAAATCTGAATGCAAATGTTTGTAGAAACTATCTTAGCTATCTAGTGCTGTTTTAAAATAGAAATACAAGTGGTTATTTTAAAAAATGGTAATTTACTATCTCACAGTTTTGTGGTTGTAACAACTTAACAGCAGTTATGTGTCATCAAGTCAGTTCTGACTCGTAGCGACCCTGTATAGGTTTTCTAAGGAATGGCTAATGAGTTTGAACCACTGACCTTTTGGTTAGCCGTCCAGTGCTTATCCTACAGTGCCACACCAGGACTCCCCTCACAGTTTAGGAAGCTAGAAGTCTGAATTCAGGGTGCTGGTTCTAGGGGAAGGCTTTCTCTCTGGTTGCTCTTGGAGAAAATCCTTGTCTCTTTTTAATTTCTGTTTCTTGATTCCTTGGACACCTCATATAGGCATATGTTTTCCCCCATCCTGCTTGTTAGTTTGGTTGCTTGCTCAGTCTGCTGTTTTATATCTCAAAATAGATTCAACTTAAGATACAAACTACACTGATATTGCTTCATTAATAAAACAAATAAAACCCATTCCCAAATGGGATTATAACCAAAGGCTTAAGATGTACAACACACACATATATACGCATTTGGTTTTAAAGCACTTTATTAGACTAGAGGAAGTTATTTGTTTTTGTTTTTCTTAAAGCTATTATTGTGAATTGAATGATATGTATATATGGCAGACATCAGTTTTGCAATGATTACAATCCCCTCTATGTACCATCAGTTAACAATATTTGCCTCTAGTCCTTTTTTTTATGTACACAAAACCACGCAGGGATATATAATCATTTAAACAACCAAAGGGTACATTTTATAAGCCAGCCTCTTGCCGACGAACACACACCTTTTTTTTTCCATGAGTCCTCAGCTGCACTATCTCTCCATGAGTCCTCAGCTGCACTATCTCTCCATGCCATCACCTCTGCCTCCTTCTCTTGTGTTGCTGCTTCTCTGGTTGGGATTCAGTTCCTGGAATATAAGATTAGCTACCTCCCCCTCCCTTTTTGTTACACATCTTCTACCTTTACAGTTGTGACAATCGCAATTAGTCATGATAACAATTATTCACTATTGAATAAAAAAACTGCTAGCCCCATCTCCTTTCACCAGACCCATCTAGACAAGATGAAAACTATTCAGTGGGGATTCTACCTTTCCCCGCACACTCTAAAACTAAATTCGCTCTTGAAAACTTGTAAGCCAGCCACTTCATGCTTTTATAGCACCCCACCTCATTTGACGTAACCAGTGTCAAAGTTGCCCATCCCTATCAGCCCTGTGTAATGAGGGGATAGGGTTAATCCTTGATTTGAAGACTCCTTCCCTCTCAGTTGATAATTTGAGCTACTATGTCCATAAGAAAAGGTCAAGTTCATTAAATTGTAGCAATTTACAACTTACTTGCTTCCTGTTTCAAATTTCTTTCTCTTCCTCTAGTTGAGTTCTGATCATTAAGCCGTCCAAGCTAGGTCAAAAGGTTACTATGTACAAGTTTGGATATTCTTGCTCATCTCTCTCTACTTCAAATCATCTGGCTGCTTCATTTACAGCTCGAGCCATCAGTGGCTAGGTAAGTGGCCATGGGCTCAGGAGTTCCCAAGTCTCCCCAAATTTCAGACCAACCAGCTATTCCTCTTTTCTCTCTCATCTCAAGGTCAACAGGAGTCTGTGGAATATGGTTGAACTCAGCTTATGTCTTCCTTATTGCTTTTCCCCAACTTCTTTTTATAAGTAGACCAACGTGGTCACCAACAAGTTGACAAGTCTGCTCATGTGTTCCCTTTGAGTTTCAGTCTTGGAAGAGGGTTTGTCCTGAAGGTGAATAGCTTGCTTATTCTTGTAATAGCCAACGAGTCTGCCTGTTTTGTTTTGGTTTTGGGTTTTTTTGCCCATTCTGATCTTTCTTTTAAGAAGTATCTTCTATTCCTCAGGCCCCTTCAGGTTGGTCTGCATGTCTTTTGAAGTGAGAATGTCCCACTTCATTCTGGATGAGGTTGTGGATGAGGTTCAGGATTCCACGTCAGGCCCTACACTCTACATAGGTTTCACAAGAAGGCTATTTTGCTGGGCAAGTTATGGTCTGAAGATGGGCTTACATACTTTCTGTAATCGTATTTCCCTATATTCCTTTCTATCCCACTCAAATGTCTATTTTACAATAGTAGGCAAGGGAAACCAATATCCATAAGACAGTCAAGCACCTTAACATTATTTCCTGTTTTTTACACATTCAGACTAGGCCTCCACTCTTTTATCACAACCTCTGTCTCATATAGCCCATGGAAACTTGCCCAAGTGTTCCCCTATCTTCCTTGTTCTTCCACCCCTCCCCCTTCTTGTGTATTGCCCTCCCTTTCCTTGTATATTTCCCTCCCCATCACCCGAGCTGTGATGTGACTATCCCCCAATCTGTGCCTTACTGCCTCCCCCCACCCCCCACGGTAACAAACAATTTTTTTCTTTTAATATGAACATCATATTAAAAGAAAAAACAATGGTCTTATAAAACATTTGTCCTTTTATATCTGACTAATTTCACTCAACATAATATCCTCAAGGATATTATGTTGATTGAATGTCCTCAAGGTTCATCTATGTTATGAAGTGTTTTGCAGCTTCATTGTTATTCTTCAAGGTAGCATAGTATTCCATTGTGTGTAGGTACCAAAGTTTGTTTATCCATTCTTCAATTGATGTACATTTAGGCTATCTCCATCTTTTTGCTATTACGAATACTGCTGCAATAAACATTGGAGTGCATATATCTACTCATGTTCTGGTTTGTATTTCTTGTGGTTATATACCAAGTAGAAGAATTGGTGGATCATAAGGTATTTCTATTTCTAACTTTCCAAGGAAGTTCCCTACTGTTTTCCAGAGTGGTTGAACCATTTTACAGTCCCACAGTGTAGGAGTGTCCCAGTTTCTCCACATCCTCACCAACATTTATTGTCCTCTGCTTTCTTGAATTTTGCTGTTATTTCTGGTGTGAGATGATAGCTCATTGTTGTTTTGATTTGCACCTCTCTAATAGCTAATGATCATGAACATTTCTTCATGGTTTTTGACTGCCTGAATGTCTTCCTTGGTGAAATATCTATTCATATTCTGTGCCCATTTTTTTTTTAAAGGTTTTTTATTGTGGATTGAGTGAAAGTGTACAGGGCAGATCATCAATTTTACATTCAACAAATCATACACCTTGTTTCATTACAATGGTTATAATCCCCTCCATGTACCACCAGTTAACAGTATTTCTCTGTATTCACTTTAGCTTTAAAAAAAAAACAAAAACAAAAAAACCCCTCAAGCATATATAATAATTTACACCTCCAAAGGGCACATTCTGCAAGTCTGCCTCATGGCCACAGGGTCTTAGTCCCTCTCTTCCCATGAATCTACAGTACTCAGCTGCTCCCTCTCTCCATGTCCCCATCTCTGCCTCAATCTCTGGTGTCGCTGCTTCTCTGGATAAGGTACCACATTCTGCTTGTGCTCTTCTTCCTTGATGGTCCTAGGGTCCTCTGTTTCTGGATTGTAAGATTAATCACTCCCCTGTTTTTGTTACAAAATTTCTACCTTTACAATTGTAACAGTAGCAATTAGTCATGATAGCAATTATTCACTATTGAATCATATGAATCTTATCCCCGTCTCTTTTCACTAGAACCATCTAGACAAGATGAAAACTACTCAGTGGGGACTCTTTCTTCCCCCACACACTCTTAAACTAAACACCCTCTTGAAAACATGTAAGCCAGTTACTTCGTGACTTTATCACCCCCTCATTTAAGGTAGCCAATGTCTAAGTTGCCCAGCCCTATCTACCCTGTGTACAGAGGGGATACCACTGGTACATGACATGAAGATTCTTTCCCTCTCTGTTGGTATTTAGAGTTACTGCCTCCATGAATATGTCATGTTCATCAAATTGTAGCAGTTTACCCTTGTTTCCTTTATGATTTTTTTTTTTTGGTAATCTTCTTCTAGACAAGTTCTGATTATCAAACCAGCGAGGCTAGGTCAAATGGGTACTGTCTGCAAGTTTGGGTGTTCTTGTGCATTTTCCTCACTTCATAACAGCTAGATGCTTCACTCTGAGCTCTAGTCCTCTGTAGCTATGTCATTGTCCATGGGCTCAAGTGTCCCCAGGTCTCACCACACTTTAGACCAAGCAGCCCATCCTATTTTCTCTCTCATCTCCAGGTCAATGGGAGTCAATGGACTGTGGTTGAACTCAGCCCATTTCTTCATTGCTGCCTTTCCCCCTTTTCCACTGACAAGTAGACCAATGCGGTCGCCA